GGTGCTTACGGTTGAGTGGCGTCTATCTCCCAGTTCTGATGTTTTGGTAATTTTCATACCAAGTATTACATCAGTAATGCCCATGTCCTTCATGTTAAAATGTTTATTCAACATTTTCTTTGTAGTTTTAATCATGTCATTATTACTACCTATGATGAGCATATCATCTATATAAAGACATACAATGACATAACCTTTATCTGTGTTTTTAATATAAACACATTTGTCACACTCATTAATTTTAAATCCATTTGACATCATTGCCTTGTCAAATTTCTTATGCCATTGCTTTGGCGCTTGTTTTAAACCATATAATGATTTAACCAATTTACACACTTTCTTTTCTTTCCCTGGAACAGAAAACCCTTCTGGCTGTTCCATGTAAATTTCTTCCTCTAACTCACCATTTAAGAAAGCGGTTTCAACATCCATTTGATGAATTTCTAGATTGTATAGAGATGCAATGGCAATTAGCATTCTAATGGATGTGACTCTAGTAACCGGTGAGTATGTGTCAAAGTAATCTAGACCTTCTTTCTGTCTAAAACCTTTGACTACAAGTCTTGCCTTGTATTTATCTATTGATCCATCCGCTTTCAATTTTCTTTTGAAAATCCACTTGTACCCAAGAGGTTTACAACCTGGTGGCAAGTCCACTAATTCCCAAGTGTGATTTTGCAAGATGGATTCAACTTCACTGTTGACAGCTTCTTTCCATAAAGGAGCTTCAGGACTGGACATAGCCTCTTTAAAAGTTAAAGGCTCATTTTCTAACAAATATGTTAGAAAATCTGGACCAAAAGATTTTGAGGTTCTAGCACGTTTACTACGCCTAAGTTCCTCTTCCTCATTTTGATCTAACTCTTGTTCTTGATCATTACTAATAATAGCATCAAAAGATCTTTCCTTATTACTAGTCTCTTGTCCAAACTTATTCGGAAATACATGTTCAAAGTATTACTAGTCTCTTGTCCAAACTTATTCGGATTCGTCCTCCCACCGGTGCTTAGGATTCACTGGATGTCTATCTCCCAGGATACAACGATCAATGTCTTGCACTATAGTAGCAGCACTACTATTGCAAGACTCTCCCACCGGTGCTTAGGATTCAATGGACATCTATCTCCCAAGATACAACAATCAATGTCTTGCACTAGCAGCACTACTATTGCAAGCCTAGCAAACTTCGTTGTGCATGTACTCTCTTAATAGGAAAATTAGATTCAGAAAATATGAAGAATAACGCAAAGTGAAGAAGAAAATGACAATTCACTTCTCAAATTAAAGTGAGGGAAATGGAATATATAGACTTCTATGTGACTCTTCAGAAAGGTTGTGATCCTTCAAAAGGACACACACTTCCATCTCAAGAGACACAACCATTGGAGTAAATTTAAATTCAAAATTTCCAACAATCCCCCACACCCTTCCATCTCAAGAGACACAACCATTTGAGTAAATTTAAATTCAAATTTTTCCAACAATTTATGTACTGTAAGTTTTGTTACGTTATTATGTCGATTATTTTAGTTTTGATTTTGCCCAAAAATCATTTACATATTTTTAAATTATATTTTCCATATAGTTTGGTTCTATTTTTCTAACAAAAAGATGGCAATTTTAACATGTCATGCTTCGAATGGGATCGGTTTTCTTAACTCGATGGAGGTCCAAAGTAGGGCGAATTATTTATTTTCCCACTTGTAATGGGTTGGGGCTAGAGCAGGTTCTTTGAAGTGTTGTAGTAGAAGTAGAGGCATTGGCAATGCTAGGCGAGTTGGCTATTGTTAAGAGCAACAAGGACAAAATTAGATAATGCTTGTGCTGAATAAACTGAGCTGAAAAAATTGCAAATTCTCATCCTTTTCACTGTGGCCCTTTTTTCTGTGTGTGTTAGCTTCGTTGTTTGTACAGTAAAAAGTTTTGGTGGTTGCAAGTACAGAGAAACTTTTTATCTGAACTAGCATAGTGGCTTAAATGTTGCCTTGGTGGTAATTTTGGAGAGGAGTTGTGTTAGCTTTGTGTTGGAGTTTTCACAAGTTTCAAAACTTCCAATTGGTGTCTTGTAAAAGACTACAATCAAGAGTTGTGGATCTATGGAAAGTAACTATAAAGTCTATGAAAGGCCTTTGGGATTCTATGTTTTTACCCACTTAAAAAAGACAGATTGTATATTCCCTTTCTTATGTATTTCATTCCTATTGTTTTCATTCTTATTTATGGGCAATTTTGATCATAAATGGTTCGTTAAACTTATTAAATAAGCAGAGGATGGACAATGATTTTGAACTGTATCTTGAAATTGTTTATTGTCTATTAATAATTTTGGTTGAGAAGGCAATAACAATTTTACGACAACAATGGCGTGTCTCTCATAATCACATGTCATATTTTCTATTTTATTTTTAATTTATATTTTTGCATTATGTTTGTATATTTTCTGTGATATTAGTATTTATGGTATATTGGACAAAACAAAATGTCTCCAACACTTTGCCCTTCACTGGTTGTGGCAATTGTCCAAAAACACCTAAACCACGACCTTCGACTAAGAATGTCATATAGACAGAATAAACATGGTCCGGTTCATTTTTTTTTCCTTCTCCGAATCCAATTTATTCGCATTTTTAGTCCCCTCCCCTTGGTTTTTGCCCCAGGGCTACGTCCATATCGATGTTCATTAGACTATTTTGATGTCTCCTTGGTTGACCACTCTCCAATATTGTGGGTTATGTATCTAGCAATATTTCATTGCACCACAAATTTAAAATCATAAGGGTTTGCTAATGCTCTATCCTCTCATTTGTCATTTGCTTGTTAGTCTCTCTGTCCTTTAGCTTTTACATGTCAAAAAATGATGAAAATGTTTTATTTTCAAGTATATCTTCTAGCCAGCTTCCTCTACAATCTTGGGTTCCCTTGTTATTTAATTAATCAATAAACCAGACATATCACAATATTCATCCTGGTAAATATGAAATGCTAAACTTGAAAAGAGATACCATGGGCAACTAATTACCCAGAACAAAAAAAAAAAAAAAAAAACAGGTTCTTGTATTGAAGAAACCAGAATTCATCAATTAAAGTAAAAGAATAGAGACATATGTTGTCATTACACAAACTATTTTTATAGTGCAAATATGAAATGTTGCAAAGTTTAAAATATCACAACATAAAAAATAAAAAGAAAGAAAGAAAAAAAAAAGATGGAAAGAAAAAATAAAATTCAAAGCTGTGTTGAAGTACAAAGAAACAAAGACTCCGATTTCATCAACAATTGATTTTCTTCACTTCTCACTCTTTCACTGCTGCTCTCTCTCAAATCTATATATGTAACCAATGAAGTGGAGGTGAAAGAGGATGAGCACACTTGTTTAATTGTCTCTTCACTCCTTTCTTCCTCCCATCTTCAACCTTATTTACGTAAGTCTATCTAAAACCTACTCATTCCAATTCAACAAGTAATTGAAAAATTACTACTAAAAAGAAAGACCTTTCTGGACTGCACATCTTGTATAGCTGCACAATCTTGCATTACAAATTTCAGAATACCGTGTGAACCTCTTATTTCCTCAGACCAAATTGTAGCTTGAGACTGAAATATCAGCTTGAGAGGCGGGATGGATGTAAACAAACTCGAGGCTCTTTCCAGCAGATAAAGAGTTGATCCATGCTGGAAAACCATATGAATCACCGGACTTTGTGAGGCCCCATAGAGGACCATATAGCTTGGATATCGAAAGATTGAGACTGTTCAGTGTCTTAGCAGACTTGTTGGTCACGATTGTTGAATATCTGTAGTAAGTTTTGCCGTAGGCATTCCATGAAGTTGTCATCTTCTGTTCAATGGCAATGGGGACAGAAGATGAACCTGCAAAACAAATTCTTCTTAATCCAACATAGATATCTGAATTCTTCCTGGTAAGATACAGAGGATCTGACCACCAGGCTAACCCCAATGGTTAAATATCTGAATTCTTTGCATAAGGAACTGAAGTACATCGAATTATTGAAGAAGGGGAAGAAGAATACCTTGTGGTGGTGCGTTTTTGGGTACTGGAGCTGGGCTTGGCAGGGTTTTATGAGCTGGAAGGGTCACTGTAAACCAAATTTAAAGAACATTATGAGTAACACAAAATTGGAGTCCTAATTTTACACTTCATGGAAGTTGACAAATTTTGGATCATAACATGTATATTATATATACTAGCCGTGTGTGGTGTGCTGTTAAAATTATAAGTTGCAAAATTTGTCGTGTCTTTGATCTGGGCAGTTACATGAGGTAAGAAGTTACAGAATTTGAGCTACCAGTTATCAAAGGTATTTTGGGAAAACTAAACCTCCACCAACTCATGTATAGACTTTATATAATAGAATAGATATGTACCTGGAAGGAGCTGGTTATAGCCGCTATGACCACCATGTAGTCTTGCTAATATGCCAAGAAGAGGAGCATTGTTATATGTAGCTGGCTCTGTTTGCTCATAATTGTCTCTTTGATCGGCAAAGTTGTCATAAGCATCAGGTCCACCAACAACAGCACCGGTTAGGGTATTTGGATCACTTGCCTTCCTGCTAAACCAAGTGCCATAACCTCCTCGGCAAGTAACGAATGTAGGGTCAACCTTCATGGACACAATCGACGCAGCTCTGTGATGAACTTGACTTGGGTAGTTGCTTCCATAACCCACCATGTAACTTGTAGCTCTTGGGTTGTCTCCAAGAATATAGTCCACCTAAACAGTTTAAAAACACTACAATAATTACAAAACTTCCAACAAAAAATAGTTAAATTGGGCATGTGTAGAAGGTAAGTTCAAAGTTTGTCCTTGCCTGAGATTTTGCAAATGAAAGAAGCTCAGATGGAGAGACAGTGCCAGAAGCACAGTTGAGGTTTTTCGCAGCTGAGGTGAGATAGTCGGAGTAAACAGTAAGGAGGAAAGAAGAACTGGTCACAAACTGCAGGTTGTTCCAACTTTGCTGGAAAATAAGGCCTCCGGGAGTCTTCTGAACGTTGCGGTTGCCCTTTCCGAGGCATGAACACATGAAATACTCTGCATTTTGCTGGTATTTTTCAAAGACTGATGCATAATTACCAGCTTTTCCTCCCATTACTAACTGCAAAATACAATTTTTACTGTTTGTTAGCTCTCAATCAAGAATTATCCAACCATGATTAAAGCACATTGGGTCCAAGTAACTGATTAACGTGCTGACTGAAAGGGAAAATTGCATACGCATAACGGAATCGGTTGTTAAACTACGATTATCCAGATGTAATTATCTTTATATTTGTAAATAATCTCCCACCAATTGATAATAATACAAATAAAAATAAATTAAAAAAAGACCCACCAAATTTTTAGGAAAGCAACCCAAGTCAAATGAATCAAATAATTTATAAGCAAATTGAATGAACGAGGTCTAAAAATTTTACCTTGGCAACAAGAGTTTGAACACCGGCATACTTGACATCCCATCCGAACTCGGTCATGGCCCAACCTGTCCCACCAAGAGCATCACCATTGTTGCCAAGATAGCTCAAGTAATACTGATTGTTTGTTGCCATGTACAACCATGCTGCACCCCACAACAACTCATCCTACACATATATATATATATACACATCATTTTAAAAAAAAGCACACACACACAACTATAATAATAGCTGGCAATGTAACACAAAAGGAGTTGTGATCACGTACATCATATCCACTGACAGATCGGTAGTACTTCTGAGCCACGGTGATGCTGGCATCGTATTTGCCTCTGTATTTGTCCGCAAACTCGAATAGCTGAAAAAAGAAAACATAGTCTGTTTAATTACCAAAGGGTAAGTACGGCAATATCAATCACATGGAAAGGTAAATTGGATAGAGAAGTGGGGTGGCTATATGTTGGAGTGGAGAAGGCTATATAGTAAAAAAATATATGCGTTATTCTAAACTCTTATGCTGTGTTTGGTTGGAGGATTTGGGAAGAGATTTGGAAAGGAAAAGGGAAAAGGTGTGTAAAACTATATGAAATATAAGCATGTATTATTCACATTTCATCTACCTTTTTCATTTTTCTTTCTAAATCTCTCCTCAAATCCGCCAACCAAACAACAACATTAGTCTTAAAAAAAAAAAATTCTAAAATCACAAACCTACTTAACTCAATTGGTATGAATTATTTTTTATTTTTTTTTATTTTTAAATCTTGATAAGCTGTTAAATATTTAGACATCTTTAATTATAAATTTACAATATTAACAAAATTCAATTATAAAATAAACATGATTTTTAACCAAATAAATTGAAGAAACGAACCAACTTGACCCCTTTGGGTTGCATTGGTTTGGGTTTTTAGTACATTGGTTTCGTTTGATTCCAAATCTTTAAATTATTAACCTGATAAGATTAGTTTATACCAAACCAATCCAAGAGCTGAACATGTCTATATATATTATGAAAAATTCTATTTCTATTGATATACATTCATCTAATTCGCCTATTATAGTAGACTTGACTTGATTCCATTTAATAATTTCTCAGATAAAAGAAATCTCATTAAATTTAATTTGCATTTGTTGCGATTAAGTTTGAGTTAAATTTTACGTCATGTACTAAATAATATTTAGTTCTTTCTTTGTTCTGTTCAAATATTAAAAATAAAAAATATATTTTTCAATTATTATTATTATTATTGTTTTGTAGTGAAACTAGAATTCTAATCCTGAACGTAAACTATGATTCTAATCTGAGTTGGTTTTATAACTGGTTTGGTTCAGACTCCAAGAAATTCGAACCGATGAGGGTTGATTCGACCCATACGGGACATCAAGGTTGGGTCGACCCATAATAGGAGGCACCACCGACAGAGCTAGCACGTGATGGGGTGGGGACAATATCGGTTTTTACAGATCGTCAACGTGGACGATCGAAACTAGGAAAAATTATTTGGTGTTTCTAGGGCGTTTTGGGGCAGTCACGTCCCTTCCTGTTTTATAATCACTCAATTTAAAATTATAAATTTCACCTTTTTTACCCATTATAAAATATGAGTTTGGATTAAAATGATGTATTGTTTTGAGAAATTGATTAAAATTTTTTTTTTAAATTTTTTTTTGAAAAGATGCTTAAAAAAATAAAAAAATGATATGATTTAAAAAATTTAAAATTTAAAAAATTAACTTTTACCCTGCTTATCAAAATAAATTAATATGATTTAGAGATATGTAATTTAGATAATATATTAACACACGCAAAATAAAGCCCAAGAGAGTACACAGATCGTGTACAGTTTGGAAGACAAAATGCGTGATAGACGGATTCAAGTGTCCCCACCCGCCAGTCGCTGATCCAAAATCAACTTTGCTACAGACCCCACTGGGGTTGACCCCAGTGAGGTGGCAGCCCCCCATTCGTCCAAATCACACATAAAAAAAATTTTTTTTTTTGACGAATGGAAAGCCTCCATTCATGACCCCCAGTGACCCAGTCTGAGGCATTTTTCATCCAAAATATGCGCCCCAAAGATTTTACTTCAACTTTTCTGAGATAACTTTAACCTGTTTGATAGGACTTATTTTTAATTTATTTCAATTTTTAACTTAATTTAAGTTATTTTGATGTGTTTGGTTCAGTTTAATAATACAATTTATACCTTTTTGTAAGTTAAAAATCAACTTATTCTTTGAGTGGAGGAGGAGAAATTTAATTTGTAAGTCAAAAATCAGCTTATGTTCACAGTTGTAAGCTATAAACTGTTAAGTTATAAGTTATAATCACTTTCTCACAGTTCTACCAAACGAGACCTTTATCAATATTAGGAGGAAAAAATGAAGGGGTATAAGACGACGAATTCTGGCGTCAAGATTCCATATGCTATCTTCTCATTTACAATAATGATTCATCCCACTAAAAACATCACCACTAATAGCACTAATGCATTAAACAAAAAAAAAATACAACTCTAAGACCAAAATATCACATCATTAATGGCGAGACCCACTGCCACCTAATTAGTGGGAGCACTAATTAGTGCTCCCAAGCATTTTTCTCTCATTTATTTATGATAAATGTTAACAAATGGCTCTATCTATTATTTGTAAAAAATATTTCGAAAATAATAAAAATATTTTAAAATAAGTGTTATAAAATTAATAAAAGAATATATCGAATTCCACATTTATTTTGTCTTTTACTTGTACTTCTAAAATACTTATTAACAAGATTTTTTATTTTTAAGTTAAAGAGTGTTTTCAGATATTATGTAAAAATGTTTAAAAAGTATATTATATTCAGTAAAAAAAAAAATCTTGTGATTATTATTATTATTATTTCTTTTCGCTTGTGTCTTCAAAACACGTGTTAAATGTATTGTTCTTTGTCAAAATTATTCTACAAAAGACAATTTGCCTCCGTTTGGGAAGTGGGTTGGCTTTTTGACTTTTTGACTTTTTTGGCTATTTTAGCCTGGGCTAAAAAACTTGGTTTGGGAAGGGCTTTTTGACTTTTTTGGCTTTTTTAACTTTTTTTGTGAGAGAAGAATGTAATGATTATGGGTTGGATGTGATGTTTTGTTTGTTAGGGCTAAAATAGCCTATTTTGTTTTTTGTGACTAAAATAGCCAAAAAAGCCTGAAAACCATCTTGCCAAACAGAGGCTTTGTAAACTTCTATTTACCTACCTATTATTCTTTCAACTCACATGCTTACTCAGTTTTCAAATACAACCCCTTCCTTTTTTTTCTTTTTTTTTAAAATCAATTGACACAACTTAACTAACATAATGACTTCTTGTTTCCCCTCTTTCCTCTGTCACCCCCTTTCCAGTCGCCTTTCCTTTCTTATCGTTCATGTCCTCTCTTCCTCGTCACCCCTCTCCAACCCCTTTCATTATTCTTTGAAAATCATTCCACATTTTTTTTTTGGGGTATGTACCCCAAACCTCAAAAAAATAAATTTAATTTACCCTTTTTTTCAAACATACCACAATAGTGGTATTTGGTGAGAATTATAGAAACAACTTATAACTTATTTTAATTTGAAAATTTGTATTAGATTATTTGGTACAACTTCTGTTTGTAATTTATTAGATGGAAATAATTTAAAAAATTATAATAATAAAAAATTAATTTTTAAAAAGTTCAGGAAGTTAAGGTAAAAGTGCTTTTAACTTTTATTTTCTGATTAGTAATTTTTAATTTAAAATAATCTCCGCCCAACATTCCCAATAACTATGAGATTGACTCCAAATTTACATATATAATTCTCACAAATGCACCCCCACCGTCTAGTGCATTAAGGGAAGTGCATTCCATATTTAAAAATAACAATAAAAAAATAGAGTGTAATATTTTTAGTATTATTATATTAGAAAATTCTATTATACATCTCTCATATCATATATACTTTTAGTTACGTCATTTTTTTTTTAATTATAACTAATTTTTTCTTTAATTATGATATTATTTTAAGATATGTAATTATATCCCATATAGTATTTGATTATATTTTTTAATTATAATTTAAAAAATATAAAATTATAATTTTTTTTCTTTAATTATAAAGCGTAACACCTCTTGAACCATAATCTTTCTCAACTATTGACATCATATCAATGGAATCTTGCTAATATACGCCATACGCTAATAATCCGTGGGTCCATGAGATTTGTGTCATAAATGCGAGGCCTCTGCTAACCTGGACCGGCAACAACCAGCCTGACATAAGAAAAGCGTAGTCGTAACTGCGTATAGCACTCTCAGAATTTCGCTAACATACGCCGGCCTAAACGACTTTGGCCTGACACTACTAGACCGGCCACGGTCAGTGCCGCTAAACACTCCGGTCCATCCAAGTAGTAATCACAGTGATGTTTGGGAGTATGGACACTTGGTGTGTTATAAGATTTTGATTGGTGGAGTGATACAAAGATTTACGATTTATGTTGGGAATGTGAGAATAATATGTGACTAACTAATTGGTAATTGGTTTGGAGTATGGACACGTGGTGCTCTGGGAGTATTGAATAATTTCCCGATCTTAGGACCTGTTTAATTAGGGGTTGTTTGAGATGTTCTAAATAAGTACACTTTTTAACTTTTTGAACTAAAAAATTGAAGAAAAAAATATAATTGTTTGGGTTAATTTTTTGACTTTTCATAGAAAAATATGTATTAAAAAATTGTATAAATTAGTTTGTAGGAAAAAATTAAAATTGAGAGTTGTGCAACCATAATTTTTGACTTTTGATAAATAGTGATAACTTTTTAACTTTTTGAATAACTTTTTGACTTTTTTTCAACTTGTCAAACTTGACCTTAGTATGATTAACAATTTATAAGATTATTTTAAGATTAATTATTTAGTTGAATTAATAAAATATATAATTTTCTTTTATCCATTTTTATTTTACAATAAATATAAAAATATATAATTTTAATTATATGTATATTTTATATTATTAATTATAGGATTAAAAAATTTGTTAATTTTCTTGAATAAAATAGTCATTAGAATCTAATGAGAATAATAAAATGAGAAATGTCTCATTCCCCATTTCATTACCCCCAATTGCACTTTTAATACAGTAACAAACAATAATAATCAATAAACTCTCTTAAAAATAGAACCACTTTATACGGAAGTGAGCCATGTGATTAGAGGTAGAATTAGAAATGCAAAATTAGAAAAAGGTAAAACCATTATAATAAAATTTGTAATTAAATAATAGAATTTGAGTCCTATAAATTAATAATCACAATCATTTACTATAGTCTTCCCAATTAAACAAGTCCTTAGGTAGGCTTTGATTTATTAAACTAAAATAAAATAATCACACTATTAAAATATTTATTTTCACGTTTAATAAGTATGTAAAAAAAAATACAATAATAAATATATCACAAATAAAATCATGTGACATCATTTAAGAAAAAATTACCATTCCATTCAAACTCCCCCCCTCCAAAATAAAAAATAAAAAAAAATAGAACATATATATATATATATATATGGGGAATGCACCAATAAATCCTAAATTAATAATTTATATACTGTTTAGTCTTAAAAGTTTTCTTATAGATTGAAAGGTCCCATTACAATGTTTCAAACATCAGATTAATGTTTCGAATATTAGATTTCGAACATCAGATTAATGTTTCGACCATTAGATTTCGAACATCAGATTAATGTTTCGAACATTAGATTGATGTGCAAATGAGACTAAATAGAGCATAAGAAAACTTTTAAGAACCAATAAATCCTAAATTAATAATTTATATACTGTTTAGTCTTAAAAGTTTTCTTATAGATTGAAAGGTCCCATTACAATGTTTCAAACATCATATTAATGTTTCGAACATTAGATTTCGAACATCAGATTAATGTTTCGAGCATTAGATTGATGTGCAAATGAGACTAAATATAGTATAAGAAAATTTTTAGGACTAAATGGTTCAACTTTTCAGAAATTAAGACTCATAGATAAATTTTCATATATATATATATATATATAGAGAGAGAGAGAGAGAGAGAGAGAGAGAGACCTGCTGGGAATGGGTGAGGAGCTCATTAGCGTAGGAAGGGTTGGAGTGGCGGAAGACGAGGGAGGCGGCGGCCATGGCGGCTGCGGTCTCGCCGGCGAGGTCGGATCCAGGGTTGCTTGGGTCGATCTTGTAGGCCTGCCTTGAGGTTGTCATTTCCTCAGGCCTTTGCCAACAGTAGTGGTCTGTGTCCCCATCTCCCACCTAAATTCACAATCAACTCTGTTACCACCAAACCCCCCAAAAAGTACTCCTAATTAAACAAATATTCATCTACAGTTCATAATCCCATTGAAAAGGACAAAACAAAAGCAACCCACAAATTTTTACCAACCTCTGAGAATTGGGTTGAAGTTTATAATGCATATAGTTAAAATTATTTAATGGGTTTGTGTAAAAACAGAGCAATCTCAAATGTTGATAAAAAATAAATAAAATAAAATAAAATAAATTGGGTATTTCGTGGATTGTAAGCTATAAATTGATTTACAAAAGAACAAAAAATTGATAAAGCACACTTGCATACTCTGCGACTAGATGCTATCAAGTTGAGCTTTAAAAGAAGAGATAGAAGATTCTGATACCTCTCCATAGAGGACATGGGGTTGGGGATGAGCTTTAATGAGGTAGTCAGTGCCCCACTTAACAGCATCCATGGCATGACTGAGCTCTCCACTTGCAGCCATTTGCTTACCATACTCAACTATGCTCCATGACATCATTGTAATTGTGAATGCCATTGGTAGCCCAAACTTCACATTGTCCCCTGCATCATAGTACCCTCCTACCAGATCCACCTGCAACAACAACCCCAACCCCAATTCAAAACATTTCAACCAATTCATTCCATTTTTCTCTCTAAAATTAAATCATACATGAATTGTAATTGTCTTATCCCAAATGGGTATTTCTAATTCCAAAAAATAAATTAAAAAAAAACCCAAAATAGTTCTAGCAAATAAAATTGAAAATCTATATAATAATGAGTTCTTCACATGCCCAAATGGAACTTTAGTAATTAGAAGAAAAAACTACAAAGAACCACAGGGTAAGAGAGAACAGAGGAGCATACCCCATTAGTCTTGCCATCATTGAGACCAGAATTACCCCTCCATTGGACTCTCTGAGAACTAGGAAGGTAACCAGATCTCTGAGCTTCAAAGAAAAGAATGCTCTTACTGAGAGCTTGTCCATAGTCATGGCCACCAAAAGCTAAAGGAAGAAGCCCAAGAAGCACAAACAGGGGAGCCATAAAACAGAGTCTCACAAACCTCTGCATTATAAGCAACAAAATACACAAAATTTACGGTTTCAAAAAAGGGAAAAAAAAAATCTCCTGTAAATTAAGAAACCCAAAGGAGAGGTATGGATCTGTTCTGGACTAGAGGCTGTATGTGTATATATATATGTAAACAAAATGGCAATGCTGCTATGATTTATCAGCTAAAATTTCTGATAAACCCAGCCAGAACAGAGTGATCTCTCTGAGTGAGAGAGAGAGAGAGAGAGAGAGAATTTCCGACGAAGTAGGCGATTTAAGAGCTAAAGCCACTATATATGGAGGAGGAGGAGGAGGAGGAGGAGGAGAGGGGAGAGGAGGAAGTTACCAATTGCACAGAAAATTGGCAGAGACTAATAAATGTAGGTTTTTTTTAAAAAAAAATTCTTTTTTATTTTTTGGTATTTATTTTATATTATATTTTTTATTAGAATGATTGTACACGGTTGAGAAAAGCAGAGCCATGTGGGATTGTTCGGCTCTTCGCTGGGATGGGTCGGTGTGGACTCTACCGTGAGAGTAGTGATTTGTATAGCAGGAAATTACTGCAGACAATCAGGGAATCAGATTAGCTAAATTTTTAAGTGCATCAGAACTTAATTAGTTTACGATTATCTAATTACTACTAGATAGAGACACTAGGCCAGATAAATGGGAGTTTATGAGGTTTCAGAGTCACCCAAACAAGAAATGCAAAAATTCTTTTTGGTAGAATTTTTTATTGAGTATTTGGTTCAAAAAGTTCAAATTTTAATTTTATTTGGTCAAAGATTTAGACGTTGAAATAGTTTGTTCAAACAGACAAATTCAAGTAAAATGACCAAAATATCATTTTTTATAAATATATCAGTCCCAAACATTCTCACTCACTGAGGCCTCGTTTGGCAAGAGGCTATTTTAGCCAATTAGCCAAAAAGTTACTAAATTAGTCAAAAAGCCAACAACTCATACCAAAAAGTCAAAGATTCTCTTTTCTCTTTACTTTTGCACATCTTTTCGTAATTAGCCAAAAAGTCATCCCAAACATACAAATTTTTTTTACCTACCTTTTTAGCCAAATAGCCAAAAAGTTACTAAATTAGTCTGTTCCCAAACGAGATCTCTCTCTCTCTCTCTCTCTCTCTCTCACATCACCGACTGTTCCAAACCCTCTCTCACTCAGATCTCCTCCTCCACTTAGATCTCTTCCTCTCTCCTCAAAGTTAGTTGCTGCCATCTCCACCATCGCCGCTGACCACTGGTACCCAATCCTCCACCGCGCAGATCAGACAGTGGCGATGGAGAGGACGAGATCTATGTGACGACGCCTTCTCTCTCTCCCATCTCGGATTTGGCTCTCTCTCTTTTCTCTCCTCTTTGTCTTTTCCGATCTGAACCACCACCACCGACATCTCTTCATTCACCTCTCCCTAGGCATAGATCAACCAGCTAGGGTTTTGGAATCTCCCATAATGGCTATCCTCAACGATGCCCTTAGGATATGATCTCGCCCACCACAATAACAGATCTCACCCTTAGGTTTGTTCGATGTCTTGATATTTGCATTTCTTTCCCAGATTCAACTACAAATATCAATTTCGTTTTGCATCTCGAATTCTTGGGCTTGGTTTGTCAAAGATCTTTCGAGCGACTAGCAGAGCATTGTTTTTGAGGCTCTAGGGTTTCAAAAGTCTTGTAGATCTGATTTTTAATGATTCTTCCAAAGCTATTTTGTTTCCCTATTCAACATATTTTGGCGTATGGCTGGTTTGTCCATTGCGTCTCCTATAAGTACTCATCTTTCTATTTAGATTCATTATTTTTTCTTCTTTTGTTTCAAGTTTTGTGAATATTGAAATTGGTGAAGTTCTCGGTTGTGTTTAATTTAACACCTTTTTGGCTGCAAAGAACACGAAAGAAAAAGAAAATAAAAGGCAAGAACTCTTTGGAATCATGTGCTTTGTATTCGGGAAGTGTAGTATTGAATAAGTATTTTGTTCGTTTATATTGGATCTTGCAATTGTAGAAGATCAGAGAAGATAAGCTCCGCCAATCTTCTTCAATGTCTTCGATAGAGATCGGAATTTAGATGTTCAATCTCGATAGATGGAACCAATCTGAGTTGACCCTAGGTCGTGCATAGATCTAAGTTGACACCTAGGTTTATTTATTTATTTTTACATGTTTTTTGCTATTGTGATGTTGTGATCTGTGGCGTCAGATTCTATAATTTTTATTTATTTATATATTTATTTTTTGTAATTGTTGGTTAATGATGATGATGTGTTTTTGTTATTATTGTTGATGTGTTGTTGTTGTAGATAATGAAACATATTGCAGATCCATATGTTTGGTTTGAATAGATAGTGAGTGGTTTTTCGGCGAGGAAAGATCATCCAAGCTTGTTGAATTTGAACAGACAGGTAGTAGAAAGAGATATAGATTTTTAACAAATAGATTTGTTATTGTTGTTGTTGTTGTTGTTAGATTTTGGATAGATAGATTTGTTATTGTTGTTGAATAGATAATAAAATTGGAATAGATAAATTTAAACATATAAATGAAAAAATTGAATATATAATAAAATTTGAACAAATATTTGAACAGATAAAAGGAAAAAATTGAACAGATAGTCAAAAAATTTAAACAGATAGATATATATAGTTTGAACATACAGGAAAAAATTCAATAGATAGATATAAATTTGAATAGATAGTTAAACAATTTGAACATATATATATATATATATATATTTGAACAGATAGTCAAAAAAAAGTCAAACAGATAAGAAAACATAACAGATAAATTCAGGGATAAAATTGGAAACAAAATCTCTTCTAAAACTAACAAAATGACTTCTCACCAAATTATTTCACAAAAGGTAGACCTATCAACATTAAAAAAATATTCACTGGACTTAATGCCTTATATCCTCCTTAGATTGGATCTATCACAAATTTTCTCTTTTTTATTTGATAGAATTAATAAAAAAAAATAAAACTTTTAATTAATTTTCTATACAACAGTAAAATAATTTAAATTGAAATTTATTTCTTATATTATTAAAAACTATTCGTTGACATTATGATTTATTAATAAAAGAAATCATTTGTTATGCAATTAAAAATTTGAAAGGGCCAAATGTAAATTTTAAAATCACAACAAATAATTTGTGTTTTAAACAAATCTTAAGGATGCATTTGTAATTTATCTGATTCTTTTATTTACACCACACAAAAAAAAAACATTATACTAGATTTCGAATTCTCTGTAATACATTACAAAACAATGTCCTTCTGCAGTTTTTTTTTTTCCTTTCTTTTTAGCAAAGTAAGAGCAACTCTGTCCAACTTCAGCAAGCCACTTCTCTGATATTTTCTTCTTCTTTTTCTTCGTCGTTGCTGCTCTCTAAAACTTGTGATGCAAGATTGAGAGAGAGAGAGAAGGGGCATAGATTGCAAGGGATTCAAATTCGAATGGAAAAGTGGGACGGAGGTTGCAGCGACGAAGGGAATTCGTCGTTGCTGCTTTCTAAGACTTGCGATGCAAGATTGAGAGAGAGAAAGAGAGTGAGAAAGGGCATAGGTTGTAGCAACGAAGGGAAGAAGGGTAAGAAGGGCTGGAGAAGTTGCCGGATTTGAAGGGAATAAGTAGACAAGATTACAACGGCAGGACAGATGGGTGTAGGAATGGCTATGGGGGTTATCAGATTCGAATGTGAGAGAGAGATAGGGGTTGCAGTCGCGGAGTGAGGGAAGGCTGAAAGAGTTATCGAATTCGAAGGAAAGAGAAAAACAGGGGTTGTAAGAGTGAGACAGAAAAGGTAGAGAGAACTGAAGGGGTTACTAGAGGTGGTATTGGTGGAGTCCGGATCCTCTCCAGCCAAAGCTCCCTCCTATCCTCCGGTCAAGGGTCACGATTTGGCCACGTGGCCCTTTTAAGATCTACGGCTGAGAAAAAAAAAAAAAAAAAAAAATTTGAATTTCTGATTTTCGACCCAGCACAAAGCTTCCCTCCCATTCCATTTTCCCTCCTCTTCGAAGCTCGTTTTCCCTCATTCTTCCAAGCTCTGGCGATTGGCGAAGTCGACGGCAAATCAACTTGAACGATCGGCGGTGCCAGCACAAAGCTTCCCTCCCATTCCATTTTCCCTCCTCTTCGAAGCTCGTTTTCCCTCATTCTTCCAAGCTCTGGCGATTGGCGAAGTCGACGGCAAATCAACTTGAACGATCGGCGGTGCCAGCACAAAGCTTCCCTCCCATTCCATTTTCCCTCCTCTTCGAAGCTCGTTTTCCCTCATTCTTCCAAGCTCTGGCGATTGGCGAAGTCGACGGCAAATCAACTTGAACGATCGGCGGTGCCAGCACAAAGCTTCCCTCCCATTCCATTTTCCCTCCTCTTCGAAGCTCGTTTTCCCTCATTCTTCCAAGCTCTGGCGATTGGCGAAGTCGACGGCAAATCAACTTGAACGATCGGCGGTGCCAGCACAAAGCTTCCCTCCCATTCCATTTTCCCTCCTCTTCGAAGCTCGTTTTCCCTCATTCTTCCAAGCTCTGGCGATTGGCGAAGTCGACGGCAAATCAACTTGAACGATCGGCGGTGCCAGCACAAAGCTTCCCTCCCATTCCATTTTCCCTCCTCTTCGAAGCTCGTTTTCCCTCATTCTTCCAAGCTCTGGCGATTGGCGAAGTCGACGGCAAATCAACTTGAACGATCGGCGGTGCCAGCACAAAGCTTCCCTCCCATTCCATTTTCCCTCCTCTTCGAAGCTCGTTTTCCCTCATTCTTCCAAGCTCTGGCGATTGGCGAAGTCGACGGCAAATCAACTTGAACGATCGGCGGTGCCAGCACAAAGCTTCCCTCCCATTCCATTTTCCCTCCTCTTCGAAGCTCGTTTTCCCTCATTCTTCCAAGCTCTGGCGATTGGCGAAGTCGACGGCAAATCAACTTGAACGATCGGCGGTGCCAGCACAAAGCTTCCCTCCCATTCCATTTTCCCTCCTCTTCGAAGCTCGTTTTCCCTCATTCTTCCAAGCTCTGGCGATTGGCGAAGTCGACGGCAAATCAACTTGAACGATCAACGGTGAACATCGACGGTGAACCAAGCTCCGGCGAACCAGAGCTCCACTTCGTCATCAACTGAAGGTAATCTTTGTCATGGCTGGGCAACATTGTTATCTAGTGTTGGGTATTTGCTTGAATTTGTTTAATGCAACCATGATTCATCTAAAACTAGTTAGGTTTTGATAATAATTAATGGGAACAGTACATTAACTAGTTAGGAAGGATACTAGTTAGGCTTGAATTTGTTTGCTGTCATTGTTCTGTTGTGAGTGGAACATGTCACAAGACTTCCACTATCTACTTCATTAACCTCAATAACCAAGAGAATGACTTATGTTCTGTAATCCATCTCCCTAAGTTTTTGACTCCTGAAACAACAGATTAATACAAGGAAAATATAAAAATCACCTAAACCATTGACATATTGTTGTCTATAAGTTCATTCAAGACCTGCACTTCTTTATAATTGGAGGTAATGAAGAACAATAAAAAAAATGATTGTGGTTGAATGAAGCTATAAGTTCATTTAAGTAATGTTTCTAATTATTGTTCTCCCATTTGATTGCCTCTACTTTTCAGTTGCGTTTTTATATGGATATGGAACCTGACAATGATTGTGGTTGGAAGCCAAAAGTAGGAATGACCTTTGATTCGGAAGAAAGTGCGTACGATTTTTATAATGCATATGGAGGAAGAATGAGATTTAGCATAAGAAGGAAATATTGTAAGAAGAACAAGTTAACAAAACAAATTATTTCTAGAAATTTGGTTTGCAATAAAGAGGGATTTCGGAAGGTTGACAAGCGAGACCCATTGACAAAAACTCCTAGAGCTGAAACTAGGACTGGTTGTGAGGCCCGGCTTTTTGTTAAATTGGATGTCAATAGTGGGAAATTTGTTGTGATTGATTTCAAAGAAAAACACAACCATGAACTTGTATCTCTTGATTGTGCCCATATGTTGCCATCGCAAAGAAAGATATCAGATACGCAAGTAATTGAGTTAGACTTAGCCTCAGAGTCTGGTCTTCGTTTAGGGCAGTCTTTTGAACTGATGGGTAGGGAAGCTGGAGGGCAGCAGTCTCTCGGTTTTATGAAATTAGATCAAAAAAATTACTTGAGAACCAAAAGACAAAAAAGTTTAGCATATGGGGAAGTAGGTAATGTGTTGCAATACTTTCAACAAAAATCTTTGGAGAATCCATCTTTTTTTTATGCTTTCCAATTAGACAATGAAGAGCAAATAACGAATATGTTTTGGGCCAATGCATAAATGGTCATGGATTATGTCCAATTTGGCGATGTAGTTACATTTGATACTACCTACAAGTTAAATAAAGAGCATAGGCCATTTGCATCTTTTGTGGGATTTAATCACCATAGAGAAACAGTTGTCTTTGGTGCTGCGTTGTTATATGATGAGACTGCCGAAACATTTGTATGGTTATTTCAAACTTTTTTAGAGGCTATGTCCAAAAAGGCACCAAAAACTTTGTTTACCGATCAAGATGCTACAATGGCTAAGGCCATACCCATTGTCATGCCTGACACGAGTCACCGTTTGTGCACTTGGCACTTGATGCAAAATGCATTAAGGCATGGTAATTGTCTCTTTCAAGATAAGGGGGTGAAAGGTGTATTAAATAGATTCATGTTTGATATTGAGGATGAAAATGAATGGGAAATGAAGTGGGGGGAAATGCTTGATACATATGATGCTCATGACAATCATTGGTTGAAGTTGATTTTTGGGGTGAAGGAAAAATGGGGCTGGCCATATGTTAGATCAACATGGGCTGCGGGAATGAGTACAACACAACTTAGTGAATCTTTTAATGCATTTTTGAAGGATTACATTCGTTCTGATTTTAATTTAAATGAATTCTTCATGCATTTTGAAAGGGTACTTTGTGAGAAGCGGTACAAGGAGTTAGAAGCTGGATATGCTTTATGCCAAAGGTTGCCAAGGGTGCGAGCGCCATTCATAATGTTGAGTCAAATGGGTAATGTGTACACTAAAAATATTTTTGAGGAGTTTCAAGATGAGTATTTTCTTTCTGTTGAATCAGACATACAAGCAATTGAATACATTGATGGTTGTAGCCTATACACAGTTGTTGATGCTATTGGGAAAAATGCAAGGAAAGTGAAAATGGAGATGGATGGCTCTTTGGCTTGTAGTTGTTCAAAGTTTGAAAGGAAAGGGATTTTGTGCAGTCACTGTTTGAAGGTTATGAGAGAAATATTGAAGTTGAAAGAGATTCCTTCACAATACATTATGAAGAGGTGGACCAAACAAGCAAAGAGGAGAAGTTGTGACGGACAAGTTAGGGAATGAGATTCAAGTAGACGTCAAATTCAAACAAGCCTCACAGTATAAGACATTGATGACCGCATTTAGATCAATAGCATGTAGAGCTGCTGAAACTGAGGAAAGTTATGATTTTTGTTGTTCACAAGTAGCTGCATTAGGTGCACATGTTGAAAGCAAGATAAGTGCACATTTTTGTCCCGAAAAAGAAGTAAGTATTAATGATCAACCTCAAACCTGTGAGCAAGAAGACAACAATCATGAAGACAACAATCATGTTGTGCAAATTCCAATAGGATTGAAGAAAAAGCATCCAACTAGTAAGGGCAAAAGAAGGATAATAGGTCCATGTGAGCTGGTATTGCAAGCAAGCTTTAAAAAGAAGTCCCGTGCACAATTTTTGAGTTCTTCAAGACCTGTTGCTGCTCCAACCGTGAGACCTTCTCCATTATCTATTAGAGGAGATGTAAGTATTCATGAAAATGTTACTCCTCTTCATCCTCCTCTTGCTCCCCCTCCTCGTCATTCCGTTGCCATAGGTGGTACAATTCCTCCTCCATTAATATATCCCACATATAATGTGAGTCAGATTTGTAGCCAAGTAATTTGTGTTTTGTCAATTAATTTTTCATTTGCATCTTGTTATGAATCGTAATATAATATGAATGAATTGTAGGCAAACAATTTGGCATATTGTGGACAACCAACATTTATGACACTACTTCAATGTGGGTATGACATTGGGTTTGAAGATTCTGAAGGCTCACAGACAGGTTCTCGGCCAACAAATAATTTGCTGCTGCATACTAAGGTACTTTTGCTGCTGATTTGGTACTTTTGTTGCTGATTTTGTGCTGCTAAAATGCTGTTTTTGGTGCTGAATATGTGCTGCTGTAATGCTGGTTTTGGTGCTTATTTTGTCCTACTGAAGTATAGTGTTGGTGCAGTTTTTTTTTTCAGGGTTTGGATGGCCATGAAGAGTTGGAAGGCACTTCAAATTTCATGCATAGGAGATGCCTCTGAGCTGCTGTATTTAACATTGTTGTTGATGTTGAAGTTGAAGTATTTAATTGTGAAACTTGTTCAAACTTGTTAACTATTTAATGTTGCTGTTGATGTTCAATGGTGAAACTTGTTGAGCTGCTGTATTTTGATTGTGAAACTTGTTGAAACTTGTTAAGTATTTAATGTTGATGTTGATGTTCAATGGTGAATGGTGAAACTTGTTGAAGTATGTGGGATATGTTAATGGAGTTTATTTTGTTTTGGATATGTTGATGGTGATGTTGAATGGTGAATGGTGATGTTTATTTTGTTTTGGATATGTTGATGTTGAATGGTGAATGGTGAATGCTGTAGCTTTATTCAAAATCTTTGTTGAAAATCTGTCTCCAAAGCTTTGTCTTAAAAAACAATGTTGAAAAAATCTTTGTTCAAAATCTGTTGACAAATCTATGTTTCCAAATCTTTGTTTAGGGCAATCTGTGCTGAAAAATCTGTCTTTGTTTAGGGCAAACTGTGCTGAAAATCTGTCTACAAAAACCTGAGTTCAAAATTTCTGTTCACAAATCTGTCTTTCAAAATCTGTGTTAAAAAACTGTGCTGAAAATCTGTCTTTGGAAACTGTCTTCAAAAATTCAGGTTCACAAAAATTCTGTCTACAAATCTGTTCACAAAACTGTCTTCAAAAATTCTGTCTTCAAAAATTCAGGTTCACAAAAATTCTGTCTACAAATCTGTTCACAAAACTGTCTTCAAAAACGTGTGTTCAAAATACATAGCCAAAATACATAGCCAAAAACCTGTTCTAAAAATTCTGTCTTCAAAAACCTGTGTTAAAAAACTTGTGTCAAACCTCTGTCATGAAAATCTATCTTACATTACAAGTCATTACAAAATCTATCATACTCATACTCATACATTACAAAAACTGTGCTAAAAATCTGTCATACTCATACATTACAAAATACATTACAACTCAAACTCATACATTACAAGTCCACTATACATTACATACACATTCCACGTACATTACAAGTCATACTCATACTACCTTACATTACATACACATTCTACCTACAATACAAGTCATACTGACACTACCTTACATTACATACACTATTTCAAATACACTAAAATCACAACTACCAGCAACAACAAAACAAAAAAAACAAAGGCGTAATTCAATTTTGCACCAACTCTTTCAACCACCATTGCCAAGTCTCTATATTGTTTCCTACTCTTCATAGTCATGTCTTTGAGCTCCCCATTCACGATAATTACTTCTCTAAGAGTAGACAAGACTTCCATGCGTTCTTCATCAATATCATTCTCGACCACCTTCAAATTATGCTGCATATGTGGAGGGATCCACCACTGAAAGAAGTTGCAACCATTCGGATAATTGGAGCATACAAAATAAAGGCAATTTGGATTATCCGTTGGCTGAGAAATCTTCACCACAGCTTTTTTGCCACATCAACAATTGCGGTTTTCAAATCTAACTTCATGCATGTTATCCATACTTGCATTTGTGCTTGACATTGACATTGACCTACAAAAAATTATCAAATACACAAAAATTATCAAAAAAGAGACAATAACCCCAATGGTGTTTCTACATCCAAGAAAGAGGTTCACATGCATATGTTTATCATACACAATAAAAAATTTTTTGGCTTTACATTCACAGAAATAACAATTTTGATCAGATAATGTGGGGTTTTCGAGAAATGGTCACTCAAAGAGTGGTTTGAGACATGAAGCAATGCCCTTTTCTGATAGGATATGCTGTTGTAAGTTTTAGATAAGGGTGACTGAACTTACCTAATGTTGATAAGTTGGACCTCTACTTATTCTGCTATTGATGTAAGAAATTTTGTTTACTATCTCCCTCTGTGGTATGTTGGATTGATAGGATATGCTGTTGTAAGTTTTAGATAAGGGTGACTGAACTTACCTAATGTTGATAAGTTGGACCTCTACTTATTCTACTATTGATGTAAGAAATTTTGTTTACTAGCTCTCTCTGTGGTATGTTGGATTGATCTTTCAAACTAGATGAAAATTCTCATATCCACAAATCAAACTTGGGTAGACCAGTGCTAAATTGTAAACAAATATGCCATTAGATAATAGAACAATTATTGCCATGGCAGTTTGTTTTGAAGAGGAAAATACAGTTCTATATTATGCCTTTTTCCAACATACAGCAAAACCTTATCAAACTTCATTAATGCCTTAATTATTTACCAACTAAGAGAAGGATTACTTATTCATTGGCTTTGGCACTCTGTCTGCTTGACAATAATCTGGGCTGTATACATACATCCATACCTCTACTAGAACTTGATGTTCATGTTCTTTTTTTAATTTTTAATTTTTTTTTGGGGTTATATACATACATCCATACCTCTACTAGAACTTGAACCCTGCACCTCCCTCATTGAGGGAAGAATAAGATACTAGTCAAGCTAATAACATGTGATATGATGTAGGCTAAGGTTTACTTCCCAAAGAGGAAAGAATAATTAACGGGACTTGTGCCCTTTAGAGACATAATGGAGGCTAAAGGCACAAGCAAAGCTAGTGTGGTCCTTTTCTAACTCCTTTTTATAGGTATTGGATACCTGGATAGTTCAACAATCATTTACAATTTTGTGGCCTTTGATTAATTCTTTTAAGGAGATTTCTTAGATGGGGGAGTGGTTGTTGGAATTTTTTTATTAATGGTCAAAATTCTTATACATGGCAGCGGTTAATGCAACATTTCTTTAACATTGTTAGCCACTTCAATGTGTGATAATCTAACATATTCTGAACAACATAACTCAATTGATATATTTGGGCCTCTTGCTGCTGTCAATGCTGCCAAAGCTATCCTATAATGGGTCATTAAGGAGCTCTGATTCAAGAACCATAATTCAAGCACTTTTCAAATTTATTCATTCAAGCACTGATTC